TGGAAACACCGGAGGGACAACGACAGGGATGGAAAACACCAGAGAGACTGGGACATGGGACAGATGGGAAACCCCAGAGAGACAGGGAAACACAGAAGAGATTGGAAACAAAGGAGAGATGGAAAACACAAGAGAGATGGGAGGAAATGGAAGAGCTCAAAGGGAATCTGAGTGGGATTGGGAATGAAGGGAGAGGGGATGGAGAGGTGGAGAGGAGGAACGGGAGAGATGGAGAGAAGGGATGGGAGAGCAGGAGAGGAGGATAGGGAGGTGAAACCAGCAGGGAACACCTACCCAGGAAGGCCGCCCAGTGCAGGGGCTGCCGGTCCTTCTTGTCACATGTGCTGGGGCTGGCGCCTTTGTTGAGCAGCAGGTTCACCATCTGTGGGGGGTGGGACAGCATGAGTGGGGTTATCCCTGTCCCTGTCCACCCCGGTTCCTGTCCACCCCTGTCCCCTGACCCACCCCAACCCTGCCCACCACTGTCCCTGCCCCTGACCCACCCCAATGTCCCTGTCCATCCATGTCCCTGCCCACCCCTATGTCCACCTTGATGTTCCTGTTCACTCCAACATCCCTGCCCATTCCTGTTCCTGCCCACCCTGACATCTGGGGCCACTCTGGTGTCCCTGTAGCCTGACCCACCCCAATGTCCCTGCTGCCTACCCCTGTCCTTGCCCACCCATGGCTGCCACCCCACGCTCCCGGCACACCTCGAGGTGGCCGCTGTGCACGGCGTGGTGCAGCGCCGTGCGCCCGGTGCGGTCGGCCACATTGACGGTGCTCAGCAGGGGCACCAGGGCCTCCACGCACTTGGTGGCCCGGTTGGCCGCGGCCACGTGCAGCGGCGTCTGCCAGTGCTTGTCGCGGGCGTTGACATCGGCCGAGTGCTTCAGGAGCAGGTGGAGGGCTTTCTGTGGGGTGCGAGAGCGAAGAGAGGCTTGGACGCAGCCCCACGAACCACCCCCGGATCCCAATCCCTCATGATTCCAGAGCTGTGGGATTTTCCCCGTGACGCTGAGGGTAGGAGATGTTTGTGTCCACCCTGAAGCTGTGGGTGAGATTTTCTCTCAAAGGGTGAGAGCTGGGAGAAGGGATATTCCCACTGGGAAAGGTGCTGGGGATGAGCTGGTATGCCCAGGATGGCACCTGGGCTGTCCCAGCCATGGGGACAGGGATTGTCCCCCTGTGCTGGCACTGCCGAGGCCTCCCCAGCGCTGGGTGCAGCTCTGGGCTGCTGGAAATGTGAGGGACAAAAAGGGCGGGAAACATGAGGGGAGGAAACAGCAGGAAAGGTGAGGGGAAAAGGGTGGGAAATGTGAGGGGAAAAGGGTGGGAAATGTGAGGGGAGAAAAGAGCAGGAAACGTGAGGGGAGAAAAAGGGCGGGAAACGTGAGGGGAGAAAAAGAGCGGGAAACGTGAGGCCACAGGGACATTGAGGGGCTGCAGCGTGGCCAGAGCTGGGGAAGGGCTGGAGCAGCAGGAGAAGGCTCTGGAGAAGTCCTGAGGGGGCTGGGAAAGGGCTGGGCCTGGAGAAAAGGAGGCTCAGGAGGGATCTTTTCACCTCACACCTCCCTGATGGGAGAGTGGGGCCGGGTGGGGCCGGGCTCTGCTCCCAGGGAACACCGGCATGAGAAGGAACAGCCCCAGATTCCTCCAGGAGAGGTTCAGGATGGACAGCAGGAGGAATTTTTCCATGGAAAAGGCTGTCAGGCTTTGGAGCTGCCCAGGGAGGTTTGGAGTCCCCATCCCTGGAGGTGTCCAGCGCCCTGGTGGGGATCAGTCCCAGCTTGGACTGGGAGATCTTTCCCAGCCTCAAACCTCCTGGGATTCTGCAAGTCCCCCAGCCCTCACTTGGGCAGCTCCAGCTCCATTTCCAGGGGGGACCTGAGCCAGGTGGGCTCATCCCACCTGATTCCAGCCATGAATCCTGGCTGGGGGAAAGAAAATCCCAGAGCCACGGGAAGAACCACGTGAAGAACGAGGAGTGAATGCTCCCCGGTGACTCAGCAGGGCCCGGGGGATGACAAACCTGACCCACTGACCTACATTTGACATTTATTTCCCCCTGTTCCTGCCCAGGCTTTGGCTTCCTGGCTTCTCCTCCCTCTGCCATGGGGGCAGAGCTTCCAGGGATCCCGACCCCATGGATCTTCACTCCCAGGGCCCCAAAAAACCAACCCAGCCACCTCACAGAGCGGGCTCCAGGCAGGGAGAGCATTGGGAAGGCTCCTCTGAGGAGAACTGAGCAGAACTTCCCAGGTGGAAAAACGTGGATGGACTCCCACATTCCCAGAGGAGTAGCAGGAGCTCCATGTTTTAGAGATTTTCCACACACGAACACCTTCAGGAGAGGTGCTCACACTCCTGTCCCACCCCACTGAGCAGGAGAATTCCACTCAGGGCTTCGGATCTCCTGGCTCCAACCCATTCCTGCCTCTCCAAACCAGGGAAAAGTTACGTGGATGAAGTCAAACCCACAGAAGATGAAGGCTGGGAAAACTTCTGGAATCAGCTCCTGAGGGACAGGGTGGGAGCCCCGACATCCCTCCAGGAGAGGTGAATCCAGAACAAAGCCCTGGGGAAGGGGTGAAGCCCGGGAGGAGGAAATGGGGAAATCCCTGTGGGATGGAGGGAAAGCAATCAAGGAAGCTTTTTTTTCCCCAGCTCTCTCCAGAACTTTGCATTCCCCAAACCAGTGAAAGAGGAGGATAAACTCCCTTTTTTCCCCCCAGCATTCCCACAGGGAAGGGCTCTCCCCGGAGCACCCACCTCGTGGCGCGAGGCCGCGGCGCGGTGCAGCGGCGTGAGCCACACCGTGTCCTTCGCGTTCACATTAGCACCTGTGGGGACACACAGCAGCTCAGGGGGGACCCAGTGCCCCAAAACACCCCAAAAACCCCTCAGCTGCCTCTCCCTGCAGCCCAGAGCCCGACACGAGGCAGGGAAAACCCCCACAGGGCTCTGCAAATCCCAAATCTTGTTTAACAAGGCCTTGGCTGGGAATTTTCCCGGAGTTTATCCCTGTTGGGGTCACGCAGGATCACGGCAGCCTCGGGCTTCCCTCTCTCCTGCCGGTGTCCTGAGGCTCCAGAGGGTGAGGAGCAGATGAGGACACTCAAAATTCCACACATAGGGCTCAAGCACAGAGTTTTTCCAGAGAGTGATGGGTGACACAACCCAAAACTGAGCAAAACCCCCCGGATTTTAGGGGATTTTCTCTGGAATTGCCCTTCTGAGCATCCCCCTCCTCCAGCATCACACATCCCCCTCCTGGCTCTGTCTCCACCTTGGCTATTTTGGTTCCAAGATGTGGAAAGCTCTGAGGATTATGGCACCATTCCCTAATCCTCTCCTGGCTGCCACCCCGTGAGCTCGGGGTGGCTTGGAGGGAAGCAAAGCCCATCCTGAGGTTTGGGGGGGATCGGGGGCTCATCCCTGGCTCTCACCTGACAGGATGAGGAGCTCGAGGATTGCAACATCTCCGATGTAGGCAGCAGCATGGAGGGGAGTCCGGCGTTCTTGGTCCTTGGGGACAGAGAGAAAATCCATCCATGAGCTTGGAGAGCAGGGAAAGGCTGGGAAAGGGCTGGGAAAGGCTGGGAAAGGGCAGAGAAAGGCTGAAAAAGGGCTGAGAAACAGCAGGAAAGGCTTGGAGAGGGCAGGGAAAGGCTGGAAAAGGGCTGGGAAAGGCTGGGAGAGGGCAGGGAGAGCTTTTTCCTCCTCCTCTTCCTCCTCCAGGGCTGAGCTGTGAGGGGCTGGAGATGGGAATGGAGCTGGGGAAGGGCTGGAGCAGCAGGAGAAGGCTCTGGAGAAGTCCTGAGGGGGCTGGGCAAGGGCTGGGCCTGGAGAAAAGGAGGCTCAGGAGGGATCTTTTCACCCCACACCTCCCTGACGGGAGAGTGGGGCCGGGTGGGGCCGGGCTCTGCTCCCAGGGAACACCGGCATGAGAAGGAACAGCCCCAGATTCCTCCAGGAGAGGTTCAGGATGGGACAGCAGGAGGAATTTTTCCATGGAAAAGGCTGTCAGGCTTTGGAGCTGCCCAGGGAGGTTTGGAGTCCCCATCCCTGGAGGTGCCTGAGGAAGGATTTTGGAAGCAGCAAGCGAGGGATGGGGAAGGAGATGGGGAGGATTTGAGGAGCACCCAGTGAGGGATGGGAATGATTTAGGAAGCACCAGGTACAGAATGGGAAGGATTTGGGGAGTGCTGGGTGAGAAACGGGAAGGATTTGGGAATTACCAAGCAAGGAATGGGGATGGGAAGAGTTTGGGGAACACGAAGTGAGGGATGGGGATGGGAAGGATTTTGGGGAGCCCTGGGTGAGGGATATAAAGGATTTTGGAAGCATTAAGAGAGGACGGGGGATGGGAAGGGTTTGGGGAACACCAAGTGAGGGATGGGGATGGGAAGGGTTTGGGGAGTCCTGGCTGAGGGATATAAAGGATTTTGGAAGCACCAAGCGAGGGATGAGGCTGGGAGGGATTTGGGGAGCCCTGAGGGAGGGACAGGAATGGTTTGGCTCCAAACCCACCAGTACATTGATGTTCTCCTTCTGGTTGAGCAGCGACCGAACCTCCTCCACATCTCGGTTGAAGATGGCTTGGACCAGAGGGGGCTGCAAGGGACAGGGGACACGAATGGTGACAGTGATGGGACACAAGAGGTGACAGTGATGGGACACGAGTGGTGACAGTGATGGGACATGAGGGGTGACAGTGATGGAATAAGAGTGGTAACAGTGAGAGGGGACACAAGGGGTGACAGTGATGGGACATGAGGGGTGACAGTGATGGGACACGAGGGGTGACAGTGAGAGGGGACACGAGGGGTGACAGTGATGGGACACAAGGGGTGACAGTGATGGGACACGAGTGGTAACAGCAAGAGGGGACACAAGGGGTGACAGTGAGAGGGGACACGAGGGGTGACAGTGATGGGACATGAGGGGTGACAGTGATGGGGAACAACACGAGGGGTGACAGTGAGAGGGGACACAAGGAGTGACAGTGATGGGACATGAGGGGTGACAGTGATGGGACACAAGGGGTGACAGTGAGAGGGGACACGAGGGGTGACAGTGATGGGACACAAGGGGTGACAGTGATGGGACACGAGTGGTAACAGCAAGAGGGGACACAAGGGGTGACAGTGAGAGGGGACACGAGGGGTGACAGTGATGGGACATGAGGGGTGACAGTGATGGGGAACACGAGGGGTGACAGTGACAGGGGACACAAGAGGTGACAGTGACAGGGGACACGGCTGCAGCCCCACACCAGCAGAAAATCCCCACTCTCAGCTCCCTCACCCCAACCAGCCCCGGGGATGGATTTTCCAGCCAGCACAGACATTTTTCCTGGCTTTTCCTTGGTAACCAAAACTGGGAATCTTTGGGAAAGCGCTGACCACAACAGGGCCGAGCTCTCTGAGGCCCCAGCTCCTGCTACCCGAAACTTGGGCACAGTAACGACCCCTGAAACCCCTTCCTTCTTCCCAGGCCTAAAAATTCCATTTTCCTGCAGAAAAACAGGGGCAGAGCTGCCCTTGGGGCCAAACCCCTCCATGGCCCCACTGAGGCTTTTTGGGATGGAGGGATTTGGGTGCTGTGACCCCTCCCAAGCTCTTCCCACCCTCACCCCCTCCCAAGGCCGGATTTAAAGCTCAAAAACACCAAATCTTGCTTTTTTTCAGCCTCTCCGAGCTCTGCCTGGCAGTGACTCCTTCCCAGCCGTGAAATAAGGGCACTTCCAACCCCGGGAACACATCCTGGGTCAGGGCAAGGCTGTGTCATCCCCCTGGAATGCAGCAGCCTCGGCATCGTTTGTTAAGGTACTTTAAAAAAAAATAAGTTTTTTTTTTATTACGAAACAAGTATTGAAGGAAAGGCTGGAAAACACTGATGGTGCCCCAAAACGCTCCAGGTCTGGCACACAGGAGAGGGGAGTGGTTGGGATATCCCAAAAAATTAAGTTCTGTTTAAATCAGAGGTTGATCCCTCCGATTCCTCCTTCCTTCATCCCCTCCCAATCCCAAATTCCCCCTTTTTTCATCTCCCTCGTCCTCAGCTCCTCCCAGGGCTCCAAAATTCACCCCTGGATTAATGGCAGGAGAGGAACCAGGGCTCGGTGTGGGGTTGGGGGGCTCTGGCAGACCCTGACCCCAAAATCCAGGGGATAAAGGTGGTTTTGGGGAAATCTGTGGGGAGAAGAGGGTCTGACCCCAGGGTCACGGCTCTGGGGACAGCACAGCCACGGGAGGAGTGTCCCCAAAACCTGAGGGGGACACTCTGAACCCCAGAACTGTCCCTAAAACATGACAGGGACACTCTGCACACCAAGAGTGTCCCCAAAACCTGATGGGGACAGTCTGAACCCCAGAACTGTCCCTAAAACATGACAGGGACACTCTGCACACCAAGAGTGTCCCCAAAACCTGATGGGGACAGTCTGAACCCCAGAACTGTCCCTAAAACATGACAGGGACACTCTGCACACCAAGAGTGTCCCCAAAACCTGATGGGGACAGTCTGAACCCCAGATTTGTCCCCAAAACCCAATGAGGACACCCTGCACCCCAAAAAAAGTCCCTAAGGCATAACAGGCATACCCTGGAACCCAGGAGCATCCTCAGATCCCAATGAGGACACCCTGAACCCCAAGTGTGTCCTTAAAACACCACAGGGACTCCCTGCAACCCAGAAGAGTCCAAAAAACAGCCCAGGAGTGTCTCCAAAACCTGATGGAGACACCCTGCACCCCAAAAGCATCCCCAAAACCTAACAGGGACATTCTGCAGCCCAGGAGCACCCCCAAAACCCAGCAGGGGCTTCCTGCACCCCAAGGGTATCCCCAAAACCTGATGGAACACTCTGCATGTTGGGGGTGTCCCCAAAACCCTACAGGGATGCTGTGCACACCAGGGGTGTCCCCAAAACTCCATGGACACACTCTGCAAGCCAGGGCCACCCCAAAAACCTGACAGGGACCCCACTGCTGTCCCCAAAACCTCTCTGAGGCCACCCTGTGCCCCAGGGGTACCCTGAAAATCCAGGAGCCGCTGGAAGGAAGGGCATTGGGACCAGGGTCCCATCCTGGGGGTCCGGGATCCCCCCCTTGATCCTCCAAACTCTGATCCAGGAGGTTTCAGTCATGGGATTTTGCCATTCCCAGGATTCTCCTGCTCCCTATCCAGGTGTCCCAACCCCAGGTTACCGGACCGGGATGTCCCATCCCTGCGGGCCCCGTCGTTCCCGATCCGGGTGTCCCATTCCCGGGATTCTCCTGTTCCAGGCCCGGGGGATCCCATTCCCGAGATTCTGCCGTTCCCGGGCTTCTCCCGTTCCCGATCCAGGTATCCCATCCCTGCGGGCTCCCCTGTTCCTGATCCAGGGGGTCCCGTTCCCGGGGGCTCGCCGTTCCCGAGGGTCCCGTCCCCGGGACCAGGGGGTCCCATTCCCGGGTTTCTCCCGGGGCAGGATCCCCCTCTGACCCTTCACATTCCCGGTTCAGGGGGTCCCGTTCCCGGGGTTCTCCCGTTCCCGATCCAGGTGTCCCAACATCAGGGTTCTCCCATTCCCGGGCCGGGATTTCACATCCCGGGGGCTCCGCCGTTCCCGGTTCAGGGGGTCCCGTTCCCGGGGCTCTCCCGGGGCAGGATCCCCCTCTGACCCTTCACATTCCCGGTTCAGGGAACCCCACGGTTCTCCGGGGGTCCCATCCCCGGGCTCTCCGCCGTTCCCGGCTCGGGTGGGGTCTTTCCCGAGGCTCCCATTCCCGGGGCTCTCCCGCTGCCGCTCCAGGTGCTCCCGTTCCCGGGGCTCTCCCGTTCCCGGTCCGGGCCGTCCCGGCCGCGCTGGGCCCGGCGGGCACGGGCGGAGCGGGTGCGAGCGGCGACCCCCGCCCGTCCCGGGGCTGCGGCGGGGCCGGGCTCGGCGGGGAGGGCCCGGCGGAGCGGGGCCCGTGGCCTGGGGCGGCGCCGGGCCGGGCCCGGTGGCGGAGCCGCGCTAGGCCGCACATCCCCGGGCTGCCGTGGCGGCGCGGCCCGGGCGCGGCGCGGCGGCGGCGGCGGCCGGGAGCAGAGAGGGGAGGACGGAGCGATGGCCGTACCTGGTCCGTGATGCTGAGAACCCCCATGTCGGGGCCGCCCTCAGCGCCCAGCTCCCGGCATCGGGTCCGGCCGCGGCGGCTCCGCTCGGGCGGCTGCGGGGCGGGGATGGAGCGCCGGGGATGCGCCGCCCACCGCCCCGGAGCGCCGCCGCCGACGGGGGCAGCGGCAGCGGGGGCGGCCCGGGGGCAGCGGCAGCACCCCGGGGGGACGGGGGTGAACGGGCCGGGGGGGCGGGCAGGGGTCACCGGGCAGCGGAAGGGCGGTGGGGTGATGATGGGAGAGGGTCCCGGGGTTCGCTGCTCTGAGCCGTTCTGGGATCTGCCCGGTGGGAATCACATCCAGGTGCGGCTGTCGGTAATCCCGGGGGTTCCCGGCACAGGGGCTCCCCCAGCCCAGAGAGTGGTGGGGTGATGGCAGAGGGTCCCGGGGGTCCCCGTGTGCCGCTTTCATTCTTCTCTGTGGGGTCTGCCGGTGGGAGCCCCATCCCCAGGCACCTGTCGGGGGTCTCGGGGGTCCCTGACCAGCAGCTCCCCCGGCCCAAAGGGCCCTGGGACAGGGGAAGAGGATCCCAGGAGTTTCCGTGTGCTGTTCTGTGGGATCTGGCAGATGGGAATCCCGTCCTTGGGTGGCTGCCGGTGGTCCCAGGGGTCCCAGGTAGTGATTCCTCCATCCTAAAAGGTGCTGGAATGGTGGGAGAGGATCCCGGGGGTCTCTCGGGTGGGAATCCCGACCCCAGGCTGCTGCTGCTGGTTCTGGGGGATCTCCCGGCCCAAAGGGCTCTGGGATGGTGGGAGAGGGTCCTTGGGGTGTCCCAGAGGGAATCCCATCCCCGGGGCAGCTCCCGGTGCTCCCGGTCCCTGAGCAGTGACTCTCCCGACCCAAACCCATCCTGTGACCTCCGGGCGAGGGTCCCGGGTCTCGGGGGGATCCCGGGCCCGGCTGCAGCTCCGGGCTCCCCCAGGCTCCGAGCGGTGCCAGGCCGGCATTCCCAGCTCAGGAATTGTGTTCGGGCTGGCAACTGGTGATACCCTGCACTGTGTTGGCTGTACTGGGCTGAACTGGGTTGTGCTGGGCTGAACTGGACTGGGCTGTGCTGGCTGGGACTGGTTGGCACCGGGCAGTGCTGGGCTGTACTGGGAGGCACTGGGAGGCCCTGGGGTGTGTTGGGCTGTACTGGCCGGCACTGGGCCACACGGGCCCCGCAGCCACGGTGAATTCCCGGTCTCTCAGCTCCTCGGTTCGGAGCGGGGCCGTTACCGGGACACGGCACCGGGGGCTCCCCGTCCCTCTCCGGACCCACTCACCGACCCACACGTGAGAGGCGGGGCCGGGAGCCCCCTGGGCCTGAGCCCAACCCCGGCAGTCCCGGTCGGTCCCGGGGCAGCCGCAGCCCCGGACTACATTTCCCATCGTACCCCGCGCCACCGCAGACTACAACTCCCATCGTTCCTCGCTCGGGGGGCGTCGCCTCGCCCCGCCCCGTGACGTACCCGGCGCTATGGCGACGGGTGACGTCACGGGGTGAGAGGTCACGGCGGCGGCGGCGCCGCGTCCCGGCCCGGTCCCGGTTCCGGCCCGGCCCCGGTCCCGCCCCGCTCATGGCGGCCCGGCGGCTCCGCGGCGCCCTCCAGCTCGGGGCGCGGCAGCGCCTGCGGGCCGCGGCGGCCCCGCCCGGCAGGTGAGCGGCGGCGGCCCCGCGGGGCGGCGGCCCCCGGGCGGGCGGGGCCCGGAGGTCACACCGGCCCCGGGGGCACCGGAGCGGGCCCCGGGAGGCGATCGTGCTGCGGGGGCTCCTCCGGGCCCGCCCGCGCTCCCGGCCCCGCGGGGTGGGGTGGTCCGGGGGCACCTTGGGCAGCCCGGGGGGAGCAGGCGGGGCCGGGCCGGGGTCCCGGGGCTGCGGGCTCGGGGGTCCCGGCGCCGCCGCTGTCCCGGTCCCCGTAGAAGGCCTCTGGGTGGGGAACACTCGCTGGGGGAGGCCTGACCTTGGAGCAAACCCGGCGTGGGGACAGCGGGACCGGGCCGGTACCAGCCCCGCCCGTGGGGTCGCGAGGGGCCCGGGCCCCGTCGGGGGACGGGCGCCGGTGTCACCGTGCCCGGGGCGAGCGGACAGTCCCGGTAGTCACGGGGCACCGGGGCACCCCACGGCGGTGACCTCTGCTCGGGGACACGACCGGGACCGACCGCCCCCGGTGACTCCGGGGGTGACAATTCCCATGGGAAAGGTGGGATCTCCCCTTGCTGTCCCCCCGCCGCCACCGGAGGGACGGGACGGGGCCGGGGGGGCCCCGGGGCACCGGGCACTTGTCCCCGCCTGGATTAGGTGTCCCCAAGGTCGGGTTTCCCGGCCTTCCTCCTCCTCCTCCTCCTCCTGCCAACAGCAGCCCTGGCATCAGCGCCGGGACCTTCCCGGCCTTGGGCACCGGCCCAGAGCCCCCGGGGGAGATTCCCGTCCCGGGAGGGGCCCGGGAAGGTCTGGAAAGGGCCTGGAGTGGCCAGGAAGGGACCCGGACCTGTCTGGAAGGGACCTGGAATTTCAGGAAGGAGCTTGGGCAAGTCTGGAGAGAGCCTGGGCTGGTCAGGAGGGGACCTGGATGGGTCTGGAAGGGACCTGGGCTGGTCAGGAAGGGACTGGGAAGGTCTGAAAAAGGCTTGAACAGGTCAAGAAGGGGCCTGGACCAGTCTGGGGAGAGCCTGGGCTGGTCAGGAAAGGACCTGGACCAGTCCAGAAAGAACCAGGGAAGGACTGGAAGGGATCTGAGTTGATCAGGAAGGGACCCAGGCCAGGTGGGAATGGGCTTGGGATGGTCTGGAGGAACCTGTGAGGCTCTGGACGGGACCTGGGAAGCTCTGGAGGGATTTGGGAAGCTCCAGAAGGGCCCCTGTCCCCTGGGCAAGGCCCCAGCAGTCCCGGTGCCGCCGGTGACAGGCGGTGCCACCCGTGTCCCCGCAGGCACACGGCCCCGTGCGGCCTCCGGCTCGCCCGGCTGGGCCGGCCGGGCCCTGTGGCCTGGGAGCCCCGAGCCCAGCCCAGCCGGGGCTTCCTGAACCTCACCAACAAGCGCAAGGAGTACTCGGAGCGCCGCATCATCGGGTGCGTGCTGCTCGGACCCCCAGCTCCAACCCCAGCTCCAACCCTGACCTTAACCCCAGTCCCAACCTTGGCCCCAAACCTGACCTTAACCCCAGTTCTAACCCCAGCTCCAATGCCAGCCCAAATCCCAGCCCCAACCAGTTACAACCCCAGCCTCAACCTTGGCCCTGACCCCAACCCTGACCTTAACCCCAGCCCCAATCCCAGCCCCAATCCCAGCCCTAAACCCAGCTCCAACCCTGACCCCAACCTTGACCTTAACCCTGGCCCAAATCCCAGCCCCAATCCCAGCTCCAACCCCAACCTTAAGCTCAGTTTCAACCTCAGCTCCAACCTTGCCCCTGACACCAACCCCAGCCCCAACCCCGGTCCCAACCCCGTCCTGTCGCAGGTACTCCATGCAGGAGATGTACGACGTGGTGGCCAACGTGGAGGACTACAAGAACTTCGTGCCCTGGTGCAAGAAGTCCGTGGTGGTGTCGCGGCGCTCGGGCCACATCAAGGCGCAGCTGGAGGTGGGGTTCCCACCCGTGCTGGAGCGTTACACGTCCATCGTCACCCTGGTGCGGCCACACCTCGTCAAGGTGAGCAGGGACCTCAGGCTGCACATCAGGGGTGGGGAGAAGGCTCTGGAGAAGTCCTGAGGGGGCTGGGCAAGGGCTGGGCCTGGAGAAAAGGAGGCTCAGGAGGGATCTTTTCACCCCACACCTCCCTGATGGGAGAGTGGGGCCGGGTGGGGCCGGGCTCTGCTCCCAGGGAACACCGGCATGAGAAGGAACAGCCCCAGATTCCTCCAGGAGAGGTTCAGGATGGGACAGCAGGAGGAATTTTTCCATGGAAAAGGCTGTCAGGCTTTGGAGCTGCCCAGGGAGGTTTGGAGTCCCCATCCTTGGAGGATTTGGCACTCTGGGGATGCCAGGCTGGCCTCGATCCAGGAGGGTTTTCCAGCCTCGAGAATTCCGTGATCCCGGTGGCTCCTGGGCCCCCTGACCGCTGCTTTTCCCCTCCCCAGGCCGTCTGCACCGACGGGCGCCTCTTCAACCACCTGGAGACCAACTGGCGCTTCAGCCCCGGCATCCCCGGCTACCCCCGCACCAGCACGGTGGATTTCTCGGTACGACCCCGCCCCGGGATCCCCGGGGAGTGCGGGGCTCACCTGCCGGGGCTCACCTGCTCTCCTCCTCCTCCTCCTCCTCCTGCCCAGATCTCCTTCGAGTTCCGCTCCCTGCTGCACTCCCAGCTGGCCACCGTGTTCTTCGATGAGGTGGTCAAGCAGATGGTGGCCGCCTTCGAGCGCCGCGCGGCCAAGAACTTCGGGCCCGAGACCCGCATCCCCCGGGAGCTCATGTTCCACGAGGTCCACCAGACGTGAGGGCGGCCGGGCCGGGCACCCCCGGACTGTGCCGGGCCCGCCCCGAGCCCACCCCCCAAAATATTTATTCGAGTGCGTCTCCGCTGCTGTTGCCTCAACGCCCCCCGGGGCTGCCCCGTCAGCCCCCCTGGAGCTGCGTCCCGGCGCTGGACTCCCTGGTTTTGTAGCTGATTTGGGGTTTTAAGTTTTGTTTTAGTTCTTGTTTTTTGATTGAGTTTTTTTTTTTTTTTTTCTTTTTTTTTTTTTTTTTTTTTAACCCTTTTATTTTTTAATTTTTTTGGTTCTTTTTAAACTCCTCGGCCAGGCCGGAGGGTCCCGGCGGGGGCAGCTCCGGTGCCTGGGCCCCGCCGTGCTCCGGGAGAGCGGGAAGAACGGGGAGGGGGGGAAGCTGATGGGAACCCCCCCCCCCATTTCCTCCCCAGCTCTTCCAGGAACAAAAGGGAAGGAGCCGGCGCAGGGAGGAGCCCCCCGAGCCCCCCCTGATGTCGTCGCACACTTTGCACAAGCCACACGCACAGGGTGGGGAGGGGGCGGCTCCCGCTGCCCCCCCCCGCCGCCCCCCACCCCCAGCACCCTCCGCAGGGACCGCCACGGTCCCCACCCCACCCCAGAGCCCCCCCGGCCCCT